TATTTATGCTGAGTTTATTACTAGTGCCAAGGTTAAAACAAAATTAAATCTTGATTTGTTTATATTTGCTCTTTGCGGAATTGATATTTTTTTCATTAAGTCAACCTTTTTATTGAAGTATAAATAAAAATAAGGTCTGTTTTCGAAAACAAAGATAAAATGTATATATTAACCTTGTTTATAATGCATGTTACGATTTTTCTGTTCGGTATGGGATTTTCTTTTCACAAATCATAGCAGGCGCCAGAATTTTTTTTGCAGGTCTTTTGGGTCATGGAATGTTGACAATCTAATTTGATAAAATGATTTTTTTGATATGTCTCATTGATGATTAATTGTTTATAAAAGTAACTGTGTTATTGTGTAATTATACATAAAATATGTTAATATTTGTTAAGGATTTATTATAAATAACTACATTTTAACAGCCAAAAGCAGCAGAAACAAAAGTCTACCTCCATTTTGAGTCCCTAAAATGTGGATTTTAGTTTAATTTAAAGTACTAAAGATAGCAGTGCCAAAGATTCAGGAATGTATTATCCTGCTTACCAACTAAAACCACCCTCTCTTACTTGTACGCAGATGACTGTCGCACGTACGCACCGTACTCCGAAAGTGGGGTGGCTGTAAGGCTGACGACATTTTTGGAACACTCCCTTCTCTTATCTGGATCTTTTGGTTGGAACGTGTTTTTGAGATGCTGTGCAAAACCATTGGCTTTTTGAGCATTGGTTCGAGCCCAGCTTCCATATGTGTTTCTGATTGGTAGGTTATGTAGTATAGGTATTTTTAACCGTTTGGTGGCCTTCCAGAGAGAATATTCACTACTTTTTTCATCTGTAACTCGCTAAGGTATGTCCCAATCGATTAATTCTTGATGCCTTGCATTTCTCCCTTAAGATGTTGCGACGCATTATTTAAACTTGTCTTGTTCTTGGGAGATCTAGTTTGTGGCAATTTGCGACGTAATTTTCTTTTTTCAGAAATCAGAGTTCTGATTTCTTTCGGATAATTTTTCCTTCTATCCTAATAGAGATAATAGGGGTGTTTGTCTATATAATGCAAAAAAGCTATATCGTCAATAATATAAAATAAGCATCAAAAAATAGTTAAATTCAAAAAAAAGTATTTACTAATTGTTTAAAAAAATTAAGAAGGACGCAGACTTACATCAATAATCTTATATAGCTAAGTAGATTGCAGTCCTCGATCAAAATAAAATAAATATTGACAAAAATATAAACGATTTTTTATATTAGAAGGGCCTTGAAATGCTGTTCTAGATTTCGAGTTTGCTTTCTTTTCATGCGATTGTTAGTTCTTGTAGTAGAACAATTTAAAGCAAAGACATTACTTACTTTTGGTTTTTGTAAATAGATGAGTTATCAATCTTCAAAATATTGTCCTCTCCCTACAAATTTTTGAAAAATATGCAAAAATACAGTCATGCGAATATACAAATTTTCAGATTTTAAATTCGATTATTTTCAGAGATAAGTTTAATGCCCGGTTTATGTAAAATATGCTATATCTAGTGTTGCTATATTCGATCGAGAACGCTCTACTCTACTCTTGTCATTTAAATATAATAATTGTTTTATGTCGAATAAAACACAATTGCTTGTAATACACTCACAACAATTTTTGTAGAACCCCAGATCAAACCGGTGAGACTCCGTAATGGAGTGGTACCTATCTGACCCCCAAACTAGAACCAACCACCCCTCCCCATCGCAGGACATAACGAAGGAGAAGGCTGTTGTATTTTATGTGGTTAAGCCACCTGATTTTAGGGATAGCTAGAAGAGATTTTCTCTCTATGAATGACGGAAGTCAATTATTATATGACTTTGGACTTGTGTCTCAAAATGTGTGTTCCGGACAGCGAGTCACCGACCCAAGTCGGTGACTCCCTCTCGAATTGTGTGTGATCGGTGACTCAGCCGGTGAATGACTAAATCATTTTTGTTCTCTTCGTTAGCTGAGCGCTCGAAGAGTGTGGCCATCGAGTTCACGTTTGTAGGTACGTGACCTCGATGCTCAAGTTCCGCGAGCTTGGTCCTTTTGACCTACCTAAAAGACCTTTTATCTGTGCTGTTGATCAGCAATCACTTTACTTTTTTGTATTGTATTGGCGCTGCATGGCTGCTTTAAAAGAAGGTTATTAGTATTAAAAATAAAAATGACTAAATAAAAGAAATAAAATATAAGAATAGGGTATTATTTGGGTCTTCTGTTACTGCGTACATTCAACGACTGCATGGCTATCATTTCTTCACTGTTCTTCTGGGTCTTCTCTATATTCAGCTAGCTGCTATCTGGGACGCCTATGCACTGTCCTTTGGTTTTCGTCATAGTCTGTCAACTCTCTTAATAATCTACTAGGGTGGTTCCTGAGATAGTTGAAAATCACATGTGCTTTTTCATCACATTGTTCTCAGGAATCCCTAAATACATATTTTAATGGAACGTACTCAGGTATATTTAGAGCCTCTCTAATGATATGGTTCTAGACTATTTGTATTTCGTTTCTGTTCGATTTGCAAGTGTGTCCCCATGCGGCCGATGCATATATTGGTGTTGGTAAAATTATAGAGTTTGCCATCCTAATCTTTGTTTTAAATTTTAGTTTACTATTTCGACCTATTAATGATGCGAGTTCTAATTATATTAGCTTTCTGGACCGTTTGTTTTGTGTGTTCTGTTACACCTAGATATTTGACTTGATTTGACCATTCGATTTTCGTATCGAATAGGGTAGGGATAGAACCTCTATTGATCATCCCCTTCTTTTTTGGTACATGGCGGCCTGTGTTTTGTCAGGGTTGACAGCTATTTTCCGCTGTACACACCATTCGTGTAGTTCATTAAGTGCCCTTTGTAGGTGTCTTGTAGCTAAATTTGGGTTAATACTGCTAAGAGCTATCGCTGTATCATCTGCGTATATACTTAGCAACGATCTGGGTTTGGTTGGGTTGTCTGCTGTGTATATGGTGTATTGATACGGCGACGACATCGCTCCCTGTGGCGCACCAGCGTCCATGTCTCCAGCTTCGGACAGGGTTGGCACTATCCAAACTCTGAACCTCCTTTCGGCTAGGTATGACCAGAGAAGACATGTCATTACCTCACTATAACCATATTGATTGTAATAAGAATTACATTTTACATCTTTTTTAAGTCTCCATTTCCAATCCGAAAATCGTTTTCAAAAAAATTATGAGTTAAGAAATTATTAGATTTAACTTGTGAATGTTCATAAATTGGCGCACCCGATATTATTTTTTATCTTGCTATTTGATGAATGGATGATGTCATATATTAAAATAATAAAAGCAAAATTAAATAGCAGCCTAGATCAAAAACCCCTTTAAATGTATTCTTTAAATTTGGTGACTAACATGTTCTTTAAGAAACTAATCTTAAGGTATAAACCATATATTTCTATTTATTATTTTATTATCTTTTTTTCCTGTTTAACTTTAGGTAAAAGCAATTTATTTTAAAGTATGCTAATCGCTGAATAATTTTTAACTATTAGTATTTAATTTGAATGTGAAATAAGGCACGTGGCAACCTTTGAATAGGTCGTGTTTTTACAATATTTTGGTAGATTAAAAATACATGTTTATGTTTTTATGGGATTAAGCCACAATTTTGTGAAATTGAAGAAAGAAAACAATAAAACACCACGAGCAATCCAGAAACATTCACAAGAAGGCACTCAAAGATTACAACAATACCATATCAGGACTTATCAGAAAAATTTAAGAGGATAGAAAATAAGTATAGCATCACAACAACATCAAAATAACCAACACACTGAGATCTATCCTGTCCAAAACCAAACACAACAACACACAAGAAAGATCAAAGAACTGCATCTACAAAATACCCTATGAATGCAACAATTGCTATGTGGGAGAAACAGCAAGACCACTTAGTGTCAGGATAAGCAAGCATGAGATATACATCAAGAACAAAGACTTCGACAAATCTCAGATATGTAAATATGCCTGGGATATCGAACACAGAGTAGAATGGAAAGATGCATCTATAGTCATAAAAAAACAGACACGAAAAAGAGAAAGGTCAAAGAAGCAGCTCTCATCCTGCTTAACAAAGAAAATTATGTCGCAAATCCATCAGCAAAATATGGCAGACGTTGATTGTCAGTGCTAAAAGAAGTCGATAACAACACGCATCTACCTCTAAGGACAACCCAGCATTGCTGTTGTTTGATAATATTGTTCTTTATCTGCATATGAATTTTGCCGTGAAAATGGGATCATTATGCTATCGTTTCCGCCCAACACGTCTCATAAGCTACAGCCACTAGATCTGACATTCTTTGGGCCGCTAAAATCTGCCTATTCAAGTGAATGTTCCCTCTATATAAGACGAAATGTTCACCAAAAAATAACACCATTTGATATATCGGAAATTTTCAATCGAGCATTCGTTCATGTAGCCACCATGGAAAAAGCTCAAAAAGGCTTTGGAATAAGTGGTATTGTTCCATATACACCGAATATTTTCATGGATGAAAATTTTTTGCCTTCCACCCTTTCTAACATTCCCGCTGTCGAACTAGAACTTACTGAAGCTGATATTACTCCCTATACCTCCAAACCAAATGGAGTACCTTCAAAAGATGCAGTCTTGGAAATAAATGAACCTGATGTTATTCCAAGTACATCAAAAGTCATCGAAGCTCAGGCAGATGTCGCTCCTTCATCATCAAAATCGGAGCTTATAAACGAGAAACAAGGAGTCTTTCATGGCTGCGTAATATTAGACAATGGTATGGTTCCACAGTAGAAGAATTATTTCGCGCAGCAGCCGACAGAGAAAGGTTTCAGGAAATTGTAAACATGATGACGGCCAACGTCTGAATACGGACACGGCACCCAAAGAAGAAGAAGAACCAGAATATATAGATACATAATATAAAACAATTTATGATCTGCAAAAGACAGTACAGTCTCGACATATTAGTGCTATGCCCTCTGGATATCAATAACCAGGCTTACAGAGTCTGTAGGATTATCAACTCCTCCCATGTTTTGGTTACACAACCTAACGGCCTCAGGTTGGCGTACATCAATATATTTTTTATTCTTTTTGTCCCATCTTTGGCAATTGCCTAGTTGTCTATACCAACAGTTAGATTCAACAATCACTGGTTTATTATCAAACGATTTCGTGATCATTCCATCTTTACTTACAACTTAATTATAAGTACCTCTTCCCTCTTTTTTCATATCTTCATCAGTTTTCAGAGGAGGTTTAGCGATTCTGTTGACTCTTAGAGATTCAACAGCAAAAATATTTTTTGATTTAAAGAACTTTTATATGTTCTATATCTATGTTAGCTAGGTCTAGTCCAAGCCACGTTAAACGAGCAAGTGACTGCAATTAGATACGAATCGAACGAAGGACAAACGATCAAACAAATTACAGAAATAGTGCAAAATGTTAAGGATACACACTTAAAACATAGATTAATGAAGAAAAAATCATGGATGACAGATGAGATCCTAAAACTAATGGACGAGAGAAGAGAGGCCAAAAATGACGCAGACAAATATAAAACCATAAATATATTAATAAGAACGAAAATCATAGAAGCGAAAGAAAAAGAAGCAGGGAAAGATGCGAAGAAATTGAGACTCTGCAGTCAAAGTACGACAGTCACAATGTACATAGGAAAGTTAAAGAACTCACAGGAGGACTAAGACGAAAGCAGAAAGGAAATATAACTGATTCTGACGGAAACATCATCTTGGATAAACAGAATAAAATATCAACGTGGAAAGAATATCTAGAAAAACTATTTAAAGACCAAAGAGATAACGCCTTTGAGCTAGAAGAAGAGGTAAATAATGGGATTAATGGACCAAGAATATTAGCAGGAAATTTATTCCGCAATAACACAGTTAAGTGTTTTGGATATACCGGAGAATGTTGAGAATCCCATGGACTGCCAGGGTCACCAATGAGGAAGTGCTGAGAAGAATGGGTCGAGTCAAAAAATTGTTGAGAACGATAAAAGTACGCAAGACTGCATACCTTGGACACATACTAAGAAATAATAAATATAGTCTTCTGCAGGTCATCATGCAGGGTAGAGTCGATGGCAAAAAGGGAATAGGTAGAAAGAGGAAGTCATGGCTGCGAAATATTCGAGACTGGACAAACATGACTGTAGACGAATTATTCCACGTTGCAAAAGACAGAGAAGCTTTTAAAAATGTGGTAGCCAACCTCCGTTAATGGGGACGGCATAGGAAGAAGAATAACACAGTTAAAGGATGGCAAAGCGGCAGATGGCAAGATGGCAAATAATCGCAAAGATATTCAATGACATATACAACTCTGGAGAAATACCGACAGAATGACTGAAATCTGAGTTTATTGCACTTCCAAAAAAATCAGGAGCCAAAAAATGTGATGATTACCGTACTATAAGCCTCATGAGTCATCTCCTAAAATTGTCCCTAAAGATTATTCTAAGAGAATCTACAAGCTCTGTGAAAGTCATATTTCTCCCAACCAGTTCGGGTTCACAAATGCTGTTGGTACTAGAGAGGCGTTATTCTCAGTACAGGTCTTATTCCAGATATGCAGAGACGTCAACTGTGACGTATACGCATGTCTGGTTGATTACGAGAAAGCATTTGATCGAGTACAGCACGCCAAGATGATGCAAATACTAAAAGAAGCAGGAATTAATCATCAAGATCTAAAAATAATTAGAAATCTTTACTGGAATTAGACAGCAAATCTCAGAGTTGAAGGTGAACACACTGACTATGTGAAAATCATGTTTCGAGTGAGGCAAGGCTGTATTTTGTCTCCTCTAATCTTCAATCTGTATTCTGAAAGAATATTTATCGAAGCTTTGCACAAAACTGAAAAAGGTATTCTACTAAATGGTTACCGGCTTAACAACATCAGATATGCAGATGACAACATAGTATTTTTTTGGAGAACTTAGTAGACCTACAAATTCTTATGAACAAAATCACGTATTACTGTCAACACTATGGAATCAATATAAACGTTAAGAAGACAAAGCTTATGATAATTAGCAAGAAAAGGATAACAGAAGGTCAACTCTTCGTCAACCAATCTCCTGTAGAAAGAGTGACGCACTACAACTACCTCGGCACCATAACAAATGAAGAATGGACCAACAACCAGTTGATTAGAGCACGCATCGCAAAAGCTAGATCCACCTTCAATCGGATGGGGGCCTTCTTCAAGAGTCATAACCTCTCTCTTGATACAAAAGTAAGAATGCTGCGATGCTACGTCTTCTTTGTCCTTTTATATAGTGTGGAATCGTGGACTGACCGAGTCACAAATGAAGAGGTCCTTAGAAGAATAAATAAGAACCGAGAGGTACTGACCACCATTAAATCTCGAAAGTTACAATTCTTCGGACATATTATGCGAAATAAATCCAGGTATGGAATCTGGATCCTCTCCTGAGGGAACCTCTCCTTCAAGCCATCCTGTAAGGAAAAATATTTGGAAAACGAGGTTCAGGAAGAATAAGAACATCTTGGTTAAAGAACTTCAGAATCTGGTTCAATACAACATCTGTGCAGATTTTCCGCGCTGCTGCAGATAAGATAAAGATTGCCATGATGATCGCCAACATTCGTAACGGATAGGCACATCAAGAAGAAGAATATCTATGTTAAATGTATGGAAAAGATTATATGTACTAAAATAATTATCGACGTACAGTCTATATTTTTTTCTAGTTTTTAGTATATTTAAACCGCCACGCTTGCCGAGCGGGTTGGCGAATGATTCTATACAATCCCTAAAATCAGGGGATATCCACTTCCGCCATCCACGTCGTACTGAAGGTATTCTTCTCCGCCATGTCTGCCATTGTGGACTTCATCCGTGACCCTGGATAAGGGACCCTAAGCAGGTACTAGTTTCCCGGGTAAGGAAACCGCTGACATCTGCGGAGGGCAGGGATTGAATCATTTTCCATGATAGGACTATCTAGAGGAGTTCTTACCCACTACCCGTATTAATTTATTCTTCTAGTTCCATGACTATTATCGATCGTTGGATATCATGTTGGCTACCATATTCGCTATAGTGACTTTATTGGCAGCAGCTCTAAATAACGATGTAGTTGATTTTCCATACCATTGCCTTAGATTTTTCAGCCATCATGTTCTTCTTCTACCAGGACCACGGTTACCTTGGATCTTTCCCTGAATGATCAGATGTAAAAGTATCATATTTTTCAAGGTGTCTCATAATGTGACCGACGTAGTCCCTCTTACGTTTCTTTATTATATTGACCAGTTGTGTTGGTTGGTTCAGCCGTCTAAGGACCTTCTCATTTCTAACTCTGTCGACCCAGCTTATTTTCAGTAGTCGTCTGTATACCCATATTAATTTATTACGCTACCCGTAATAATTAAATGCAGTTTTAGAAGCGGTAGGCTTAAAAATGAACTACAGCAAAACAAAAATACTGAGCCGAGACCAGACAAATATAACAATACAAAATCATACCATAAAAAATGTTGAACATTATGTTTACCTAGGTCATGTCATTAAGCTAGGAAAACCAAATCAAGATGCTGAAATTAAAAGAAGAACACAACTGGCATGGGGCGCTTTCGGCAAACTAGCATATATCTTGAAAAACACCTCCATTCCTGTAAACTTAAAGCAAAAGGTGTATAACACATGCATATTACCAGTTTGTACCTACGGCTTTGAGACAGTAGCCCTTACCAAAAAATTTGCTAAAAAATTAGAAACAACGCAAAGAGCAATGGAATCATGCTTGGAATATCACTGAGAGACAAGACTAGAAACACCGAGATAAGACGTAGAACGAAGATTAGGGATATTGTGGAAGAAATTACAAAAATGAAATGGCGCTGGGCAGGTCACGTAGGGAAGACCTCAAAAAAGATGGGTAGATGACATAAGAGCAGTGGCAGGCAAACAGTGGATTAGATTGGCGCAAGATAGAAGAAAGATGGAAGCAATTGAGAGAGACAAGTAGTAATATCGTGGAACATATACCGACCACGTTACTAACCAGGATGTTTTATTAAAAATGCAAAAAGGAAAAGAGTTGTTAACCACAATAAAAACAGCTAAAATCGAGTACCTTGGTCACATCATGAGAAACAACGAAAGTTATAGGTTGCTGCAATTAATTTTACAAAGAAAAGTAGAAGAAAAACGAGGATCAGAAAGGCGAAGGATTTCCTGGCTGAAAATCTACGTACATGGTTCAACACAAAAACCACAAATCATTTTAGAGCAGCAGTTTCCAAAATACAGATTGCCATGATGGTCGCCAACATCCGAAACGGATAGGCACTACAAGAAGAAGAAGATGTCATGAGATGCGCAATAGTACACAATAAATTGAAAGAAGGTTAATTTCCGTACCATATCCATCTTGGCATATACTTTACATCACCCCATTTAACCTTCGGAAGTAAGATTTCCAAAGTCCAAAGACTACCGTTACCCCTTTAGGTACTCTTGTTAGATGCAAAAGTAAGTTTGGTTGCCAAAGTTTACAACTAAATTCTCTTTCGAAAACCACCTAGCTGCACTTCTGGTTTTAACAGCTTGTAGTTATCTCCCATATCGTAAACATCCTTTAGATTTTACATAAATTTCCAAACCCCGTTAAAGATCACAATTATCGATTGTATCGCCGAATAATTTCGATATCGATTGATAAGTTCTTTCTACTTGGTAATAAGTTCTTTCTGGTTGGTACTAAGCTCTTTCTTAAAGTTGTGTATTTGTGCATTTCAGATTTAGCTTCTTCTACATTTATAGCTGATGATGGCAGAGATGTTGAAATGCGTTCTGGGTGTTAGAAAATAAAGATTGTTTTTACAATTTGTGGATTTACGTAGAGTTAGTAATAGCAAACCTATAAAAATAAAATCGTCTGTATTCCACCAAAATCGTATTTGATTTACTGTTTTCGTAATCGATAATATTTCACTAAATAAATCAGAATTTTTTTAATAAATCAAAGAAAATTCTCCAAATTATCAAGTTTTTACAAATAATCACAACGTCTATCAACTTTGTTGCTTTATCAGCATTTTTTATCAAATCTCAAAGTAAATACTCCCAAGTTATTACAAATAATCACAACATATTTCAATTTTGTTGCTTATTTACTTATGTT